CCTATCATGGGGGGTGATGCTCCCAGGGGTCCCATCATGGGGGTGATGCTCCCATGGGTCCTATCATGGGGGGTGATGCTCCCATGGGTCCCATTGGGGAGGTGATGATCCATGGGTCCCACTGGTTGGTGCCGTTCCACTCTCGGTGTCCCCGCAGGCGCCATGGAGGTGGTGCTGGTGCGCATGTGCCGCGCCTTCAACGCCGACAACCGGACCGTGTTCTTTGAGGGCAAGTACGCCGGTGCCGAGCTCTTCCGATCGCTGGGTAGGGCTGGGGACATGGGGGGACACGGGGGGGATGACACATGTGGGGCACGCGGTGACCAGGGCTCCCCACAGGCTGCCACGAGCTCATCGGCTCCATTTTCGACTTCGCCCAGAACCTCTGTGCTCTGCAGTGCTCGGAGCCCGAGGTGGCCTTCCTCAGCGCCCTCGTCCTCGTCAACGCCAGTGAGGACCCCCCCCCCCGACCCTCCCGTGCCTCAGTTTCCCCCCAACCCAACCCAACCCAACGGGAACCCAGCTTGGTTGTCCCTAAACTGGTGCTGGGTGTCCTGGGGTGTCCCTGCTGTCCCCTCGCTCCATCTCCATCCGTGTCCCATCCTGCCATGGTCCCATCTCCATCTCATCCTGTCCTGGTCCCCATCCCTGTCCCTGTCCTGTACCGATCCTATAACACCCTGCCCCTCAGTCAATCCCACCACCATCTGCATCCCTGAACCCATCCCAACCCTGTCCCAATCCTTTTCCCCGTGCCAGTCTTATCCCATCCTTGTATCCATCACTGTCCCCATTCCGGTCCTCATCCCGTCCCACCCTGTCCCAACCTCATTGTGTCCTTGTCCCCATCCCTGTCCTCATCCTATCCCACCCCATGCCAACCTCTTCCCATCCCATCATCCCAATCCCAGCCCATCCCTGTCCCCCCCTCCTCACCAACCCCTCGGGGGCCATCCCAGGCCGCCCATGGCTGCAGGAGCCGGTGAAGGTGTCGCGGCTGCGGCGCCGCCTGGAACTTGCCTTCGAGCTGCTGCTGCGCCGGACGCGGCGCGAGGGGCTCCTGGACAGGGTGAGCCATGGGGCAGGGGAGGGGGGGAAATGGGGCTGAGAGTGGGGTGACACGAGTGAACACGTCAGAACATGCTTGTCCCCTGTGCGCACCTGTGAGAACACGTGTGTTCCCTGCACGCACATGAGAACACGCGTGCTCAATGCGTGCACGTTTGAGAACACGCTGCTCCCTGCGTGCATGTGTGAGAACACGCAAGCTCCCTGTGCACAAGTGTGAGAACACGTGTGTTCCCTGCACGCACATGAGAACATGCCTGTTATCTGCGCACACATGAGAACACGCGTGTTCCCTGTGCGCACACGTGAGAATATGTGTGTTGCCTGCACGCACGTGTGAGAACACACTTGTTCCCTGCACGCACATGAGAACATGCATGTTATCTGCGCACACATGAGAACACGCGTGTTCCCTGCGCGCACATTTGAGAACACGCCTGTTCCCTGTCTGCACATGAGAACACACGTGCTCCCTGCACGCACATGAGAACACGCACATGTGAGAACACACGTGTCACGTGTCCCATCGCATGCAGCTGCCGCCGCAGGGCCGCCTGCGGGCGCTGTGCTCGCAGCACATGGAGCAGCTCCAGGCCCTGCGCCGCCGCCATCCCCCGGCGCTGCTCGACGCCTTCCCCCCGCTCTACCGGGAGCTCTTCGCCGGGGAGGGTGAAGCCACCGGTGCCGCACGATGAACCCCGGCACCGCACCGGGAGCCGGCACCGCACAGGGAGCCGGCACCGCACCGGGAGCCGGCACCGCACAGGGCCCACATCCGTGGTGCTGCCATGGGGAGATGTACCGGGGAATAAAGGGCTTTATAACGGGGTTTACGTGCCCGGTGTGTCCGTACGGCGGCGCTGGAGGGTGGGCACCGGGACCCCACGTCCACCCCGCGTGGGGCATTGTGGGACGGGACAGACCCGGCCGTCACTCGGGTGGGTCTGCTACTCGCTCGCTGATTGGCTCCAGCCGGCTGCCGCGCGGAGCGGATTGGCTGCTTTATTCCCAGGCCGGTGCTGTGCCCCGCCCCTTCGCCCCTCTCTTCCCGCCCTCTCGTGTGGGAGCCCGCCCGCGGATTGGTCACCGCCTCTCTACGGCAGCGATTGGTAGGGCGGGGGAGGAGCTGGGCGGTGATTGGGCAGCCGCGGGAGGGGGCGGGGCTGGCGGTGGCCGGGCGCGTGAGGCGGCGGCAGCGGTGGCGGTGCGAGGAGCGCCGGGGCCGGGGCCGGGGCCGAAGCCGAAGCCGAAGCCGAAGCCGAAGCCGAAGCCGGGACCGAGGCAGAAGCCGGGACCGAAGCCGGGGCCAGGACCGGGACCGGGACCGGGATCGGGACCGAGACCAGAGCTTGAGCCGAGGCCGGAGCCGAAGTGGCGGCCGCATCGGCGCGACCCCGCTCCGCAGGTGCCCTGAGGCCGCCCCAGGAGCCGGGTGGGAGCTGCCCCGGCTGCGGCCCAGCAGAGCCTCTGCTCCCGCAGGGGGATGGCGACGGCGCGGGGCTACTGGAGCAGCCTGCAGCCACTGCAGAAGGTCGCTGTGCTGCTGGGGCTCCCGGCCGGCACCGCCGTGCTCTACATCCTGTACCGCCGGTACCGGGAGAGCCGAGGTGGGTGCCGCAGCACGTGGGGAGGCTCAGAGCCGCTCTGGGGGAGCTGCTTCACCTTCCCTTGTGCCGTTGGTACCCGCAGAGCAGCGTGAGACCTTCGTGGGGGACGAGGAGCTGGAAGTGGAGATGCGGGTGCCCCGCGCCGCCCTCAAGGCCATCATCGGCCGGAAGGGAGCCACCATCCGGAAGGTGCGTGGTGCCGGGGGCAGCCGGGGCAGCCCCAGCTCACTGCGAGCCCCAGTGAACGGCAGCCGGGGTTGGGGACGGACACACACACACCCCACAGCTGCGGCAAGAGACGGGGAGCTCGCATCGAAGTGGAGGGAGAGGAGGAAGGCGAGGAGGCGGCGCTGCTCATCTCGGGGCTCGCCGGTCCAAGTGTGCCGGGTGAAAGCCGCCGTTCACCAGATCGTGGCGGAAAGCGCGCCGGTGGCGGAGCGGCTCTGCGTGCCGCGGAGAGCCGTCGGCAGGATTATCGGTACTGCTGCCCCCCGTGCTCTCAGTGCCGTCGGGAGCATTGGCTCCTGTGTTGAGCCCCGTCTGCTTCAGCGTCCTGGGGCTCTGTGTCCTGCAGGACGCGGAGGGGAGACAGTGCGGGGCATCTGCCGCAGCGCGGGGGCGCGGGTGCTGTGTGAGAGCGAGGCCAGCGCCAGCCTCTGCCCCATGAGGGGCATCCAGCTCTCGGGGACGAGGAAGGAGGTGGAGGCCGCTAAGGTGAGCAGGAGCACAGAGGAGTCAGGCAGCACCGAACTCCGCCCTCCCTGAACGCCAACCTCTCCTCTTTGCCCATTAGAAACTCATCCTGGAGAAGCTGATGGAAGACAATGTGCTCCGGACAGAGCTGGCGCAGGCGGCGGTGGCTCGATGCCAGCGCAAGGCACCGCTGGGCAGCCGCCGGGAGCCGGAGCCGCTGCCCAATGGGGCACCGGAGCACGAGGAGGAGCACAAGGGCTTGCCCTGGGGTGAAGAGTTGCTCAGCTTGATGTCCTCTGAGGAGGTGGTGGAGCAGGAGGCTGAAAGTGAGGAGCTGGAGGAGCCCAGTGTCCCCATGCCCAAATTTGAGGGTAAGAGAAGCATGAATCATGCCAATGGGGTTCGTCCCCATGTGCTGCTGCCGGGGTCACCCCCCAGGGTGCTCCCTTGCACCGCTTCTGCAGTTCCCAGCCCTGACTTTGCCTTCAATGCCGATGAGCACCTTGAGGTTTACGTCTCAGCTGCCGAAAGCCCCGACCGGTTCTGGATGCAGCTGGTGGGGCAGCGCAGTCTGCAGCTGGACAAGCTGATGGCTGAGATGCGCCAGTACTACCAGCACCACAGCACCACGGTGAGCCCCACGCCTTGTCCCTCCACACCTCCCATCGCTGCCCCCGTGTCCTGCCACCGTTCCTGTGTCCCCACAGGCACTGCTCTCCGACGTGCAGCCCGGTGACATCGTGGCCGCTCCCTTCGCCGTTGACGGCAACTGGTACCGCGCACGCGTGCTGGGCCCGCGGGACAACGGCAACCTGGGCCTGCACTACGCCGACTTTGGGGACAGCGGTGAGGCCCCACGCCAGGCGCTGTGCGCCCTGCGGTGAGTGCTGTGTGCCAGTGCCGGCTCTGGTGCTGTGATTGCCACGTGCCACCCTCATGCAGCGTTTCCCTCTTGCCAGGAGCGACTTCCTGAGCCTGCCTTCCAGGCTGTGGGAGTGCAGCCTGGCCGGTGTTGTGCCCGCTGGTGAGTGGGGATCAGGGTACAAGGGGCCCGGTTGTGTCCCGGTGCTGAGCCACAGGGCCTCGCCTGCCCGCAGGTGCCGATTGGGAGCCGGCGGCACTCGACGCCTTCGCAGAGCTCTCGCACTGCGCCATGTGGGAGCCGCTGCTCGCCCGCATCGCCAGCTATGGCCCAACAGCGCCGTGCCCGCGGCCCGTGTCCAGCTCTTCGCCATGCACGGCGGTGTGGTGAGCCCCAGGCCCTGTCCCGCTCTGCCCGGCCCCCCCCCCGCCCGCCCTGAGCCACCGCTTCTCTCGGTGCAGAGCCTGGATGTGGGCACCGAACTGGTGCGGTTGGGCCATGCCTTGCCCCAGCTCTGCCATGCTGAGGAGGAGGATGCACAGCAGGGAAGCCCCAGTGCCACCGGTGAGCGCCAGCGGAGCTGCGGAGCCCGGTGAGCCCAAACCTGCTCCTGTCCCCCCCTGCCCTGCGCAGGAGATGCCAGCGTGACGCTGAGAGCTCCCGGTGCCGCTGTGCTGGCACAGCCGTTACCGGTCCCGTTCCCCCTGGTCCCTGTTGGACGGTTCTTGGCGCGGGGGGGGGGGGCATCACCACCCGTTCAATAAACCGGAATGTTCTGCAGCACCCGGCCGCCTCCTCTGGGCACTGCGCGGGGTTCAACCGGTACCGGAGGGGGGGGGGTGTGTGTGTGTGAGCGCACCGGGATCAGGCGCACACCGGGCACCCCCGGTGGGGTCCTTGAGCAGCGGCGGCGACCGCTGCGCAGGCGCGCAACGCCCGCGGGGTCTTTCGTCTGCGCTGGGAGCGGGACGGGCGCAGCCATGTTGGCACCGGGAGCGGCGGGAGCCTGCGGGCTCTTGGTGCGGGCGGCGAGCCGGGCCCTGAGCCTGAGCCACGGCCGGGTGAGTGCGGCACCGGGAGCGGGGGCGGAGCGGGCCCCGCAGCCGCAGTGCTCACGGCCCGCCCCGTGCAGGGCACGGTGGTGGTGGGAGCGCTGGTGGCAGGTCCGCTGAGCAAGGAGGGGAGGCCGCCCCGCGCGAACCTGCGGCGGCACCGCGTGTACCGGCTGGTGGAGGACACCAAGCACCTGCCCAAGGGCGAGCTGGAGCTCATCTCACCCGCGCCGTGGAGGGTACGGCCCGACCCCCTTGAGCCCGTTCTCCTGGAGGCCCCGTTCGCACCGTGCCGTGGCGGCGGGGTTCGTCCTTGGGATGCGCCGTGGTTTGGAGCGGTTTTGGGGCCTTTTGACTCGGGTGTTTTATTGTAAACTCCGTTTACGTGGACCCGAGGGGTTGGGGGGGGGGGGGGGGAGCCCCGCTCCATCCCACCCCCTGTCCTGCAGGCCTGGGCAGGCGGGGGGACCTGGTCAGCGTGAAGAAGCACGTGGGTCGGAACAAGCTGCTGCCGCAGGGACTGGCCGTGTACGCGTCGCCGGAGAACAGGAAGATGTTTGAGGAGGAGAAGGTTCGGTGGCACCGGGACCTGGTGGGAGGCTTCACGGTGCTGGGAGAACCGGGTCCTGTGCCGGCGGCATCCTCAGTCCTCCCTTTCCCCCTCGCAGCTGCACCAGGAAGGGAAGATGGAAGTGCAGCAAACCCAGAGCGGGGAGAGGGTGAGTGCGGCGGCACCGGCTGCTCTGAGCCCTTCCTCCTGCCCCCCGACCCCTTCCTCCTGCCCCACGACCCCTTCCCTCTGCTCTGACAGACCATCAAGTTCCTCAAGAGCTGCCGCCTCGAGGTGGGCATGAAGAACAACGTCAAGTGGGAGCTCAACAACGAGATCGTGGCTCGGCACTTCCTCAAAAACGTGAGTGCTTCTTGGCACCCCTGTCCTGAGCTGGCTCCGTGCTGGCAGCTCCCGGGGTGAGTCGGTTGTGGGGTCCGGGAAGGGGTTCCCCCATGCTCCCGGCTGCTCCCCAGAGTCTCCTCTCCCCTCCTCAGCTGCGGGTTTTCGTGCCACCCCATGCGTGAAGCTGCCGGAGGAGCCCATCACCCGGTGGGGCGAGTACTGGTGCGACGTGACGGTGAGCTGGTCCTCTCTGTGTGTCCCCCCCATCCTGTTCCCAGCTCAGCCCACACCCCCCTTTTGGGCCCCTCAGCATCCCACAACCCCTCCCCATGCCAGTGCTCCCACCTGAATCCAAGGAGCCCAGAGCCTCAGGTGTGAGGAAGAGAATGACTGTGTTAAAAACACCCCAAAACCAGAGAAGACACCCCAGTCCCCACACCCTACATGAAACATGCCTCCTGCATGGTGCCATTTGTTTTCCATCTTTCCTGGTCCCCCCAGGAAGCAGAGACTGCTCTGAATTACCCCAATGGCTCCAAATCCAGGTCATCACTGCTAGGTGCCAGGTCCAGTCTCCAGCTTCACTTCTGGGTGTGGGGAAGGGAAGGGCGAGGGCAGCCTGGTTCCAATCCCCTTCCATCCCACTTCAGTCCTGCTCGTCCCCGGTGTTTCCCTCCTGCTTCCCACCAACCGGCCCCCGCTGTGGCTTTTGGGATGGAGCTCCCATGGCCACAGGAAAGGGGAGGAGAAAGGAATTGCAACTGGGAGTGGGGGCACAACCGGTGGTCCCCGCTCCTGGCGGTGCCTGTGCCGTGACCCCAGTCCCGTTGCGGTGCCGCAGGTGAACGGGCTGGACACGGTGCGGGTGCCGATGTCGGTGGTGCAGTTCCTGCGGCCCAAGACCAAGCGCTACAAGCACTGGCTGGCACAGCACCAGGCACGACTGGCGGCACGCAGGGAAGAACAGCTCTGAGCTGGGGTGGGGGGGGCTCAGGGTGCTGCCCCCCGGGCCCTCCCCAGCTCCTCCTGGATCCGTCCTGGCAGCTCCGGATGCGTGAAATACACTGAGGGGGGGGGGCAGGGGGTGAGTGACCCCTTATCCCATGGGGACCCCTTCTACTGCTCCCCACTATTGTGGGGCACCCCCCCTTGCCCCATGGGGACCATCCCACCACTGTGGGACCCCCTCGCTGCTTTCCAACACTGTGGGGTCCCCCTCAGCCCATGGGGGTTCCCCGGGATCCCCTGTGCCCCCCTCACCTGCAGCAAACCCCAGGACATCATCCGGCCGCTGGAGCAGCAGCTCCCTGCAGGGGAAAGGCGGGGGGGGGGGGTGTGTGTCACAATGGGTTTTGGGGGAAAAGGGTCGTTTTGGTGGTATTTCTCACATGGAAAGCGCTTTTATCGGGTAACGAATGGATTTTTCCACGCTGATCCCGGTGTTCTGGTGCAGTTCATGGTTGGGGCGGGGGGGGGGGGGATCGGGGCCGTGTCTCACCTGAGGAAGCCCCTCAGCAGCAGCGCCACCGCCGGGTGTGCCCGCAGGTACCGCTCTGCTCTCAGGCGGAGCGAGGGCTGCCGGGGGGAGGGCGGTCAGGAAGGGGGTGCCCCGGACGGGACCCCCGGATCCCCTCCGCTCCCCCTCAGCCCCCTCCCGTACCTGGTGCGGCCGCGGCGGCGGCGGCAACGGCGGCGCCATCTTGGCGGAGCGGCCCGTCGCTATGGCAACGGGAGGACCGGGGATGGGGGGGACCCGCGAGGGTTTGCGCTCAGCACCGAGGACAGCGCCGTGGCGGGGCCACGCCAGGCCACGCCCCCTACACGCGTGTGCGCGCACGGCGGGCACGAGCACGCACGCGCAGCTCCCGCGCACGCACCCCCACCCCCCCCCCCCAACCTCCACCCAGCCCCAGCCGAGCCCCGGGGCGAGGCGGTGCCGGTGCCCGTTCCCGGTGCCCAGCAGCGGGTCCCGGTCGCTGGGGTCCGTTCCCGGTAGCTGATCCCGGTGCTCGATCCGCAGCTCCCCGTGGCCGGTTCCGTTTCCCGGTAACGGGTCCCGGTGCGGCTCGGACCGGGGAAGAAAAGCGGCGGGAGCGGGGCCGGGACCCGCCGGGGCCGCCATGGGCCCGTGCCGGGCGCTGACCGCCCCCCCTCGCCGGTACCGAGCATCCCCCGGTGGTGCCGGCGGGGCGGGCGCTGTTCCCCCCCCCCTTCCCCCCCCCCCCCCGCCCGTTCCCTGCTCCGGGCTCGGTGCCGCCGCCCCGGGAGGCTCCGCCGGGACCCGCCGGGACCCGCCCCCGGGCAGCGCTGCCCCCGCCCCGCGCGCCCCGTCCCCGGCGCCGAGCCGAGCCCCGGGGCCGCCTCGTCCCTTTGTGTGCGCCGCGACCGGGCACGGCGGGAGCGATCCCGGGAGCCGCAGCGAGCGCCCCGGGGCCCGGCCCCCCCCCGGTGGCCCCCATGAAGGAGCCCGACGCCATCAAACTCTTCGTGGGGCAGATCCCGCGGCACCTGGAGGAGAAGGACCTGAAACCGATCTTCGAGCAGTTCGCAAGATCTACGAGCTGACCGTCATCAAGGACAGTACACCGGGGATGCACAAAGGTACCGGGAACCGGGAACGGGGACTGGGAACGGGCAGCACCGGCGCCGAGCATCGGAGCGGCCCTGGGTAATGGAGAGCTGGGTACAGGCCCCGGAATGGCACCGGGAACAGCCTCACGTAAGGCCCTCGGTACCGAGAACGGCTCCTGGTACCGGACACAGCGTCGGGAACAGCTCCCCGTACCGGCAACGGCCCCCAGCGTTAGGAACAGCCCCACATATGGCAGCTGGGAGCTGCAACAGCTCAACCTACAGCCCCACATAGAGCCGGGAACAGCCCCCAGCACCAGGAACAGCTCCACATCGAGCCTGCAGTCCAGGAAGAGCCCCAGCATTGGGAACAGCCCAATTACAGCCCCACGTCCAGCCCCCGGTACCCCAGCCACAGCCCACATACACGCTCAGGAGGCCCTGAGCATCACCCTCAGCTCATCCTACAGCCGCGGGCCCAGGGTACAGCCCCAAGTACAGCCGCAGGCCCGGGGAACACCTGAGCTGGGTGTCAGGGTGTACGGGGCTGTCGGGTGTATCAGGGTGTACGTGGCATTTGCGTGGCTGTGGGTGCCGGGGCTGTTGTGGCAGCAGAAGCCGTGCGGGTGTTGGGCGGGAGGGGTTGCGGCCGGGTGTTGCGTGGGTGCTCTGGGGGTGTTGTGTGGGTGCTGGGGGGTGTTGGGAGCAGCGGTGCCGGCGCAGGGGTGGGTGGTTGCGGTGATGGGTGATGGGGGGGGGGGGATGTGGCAGTGATGGTGCCACAGCCACGGGGTGCTGGGGGCTCTGTGCCTCCCCACCGGGGGACGCCCCCCCCCCCCCCCAAACCCCAGCACCTACAACAGGCGTGGGGCGGCCGAGGCCAGCGCAGGCCTGAGGCTGGGTGATGGGCACCCAGGCAGCAGAAACGGGGTTTTGGGTGTTCTGCCTCCAAATGGGTGTTGTGGATGCTGTGGATGGGGGGGTTGTGGATGCTCTGGGGACCTCGGTGTGGGGGTCCTGCACCACCTCCATCGCCCCTACCCCATTTTCCCCA